TGGGGATCAGCCTTTCCCTGGAACAGCGGGAGGACCTGCTATCAGAATTGAGCCCGGGCTAGCGGACCAAGGGCCTGGCGCTGCCTGTCTTTGGGAACAAAGATTTATTGGGACGTAGCCACACCCATGTGTTTATGTATATTTTTTATGGTTGCTTTTGCACGGCAATGACAGATTTGAGTCATTTGCGATAAATACCACATGGCCTTCGAAGATGCAAATATTTACTGTCAAGGCCTTTCCGTAAAGAGCTTACGGGCCAGAGAACAGAGTAAGCAAGGGGAGGAGGATGGGCGAGGGGCTCAGGAGCACAAAGGCTGGCCCCCTTTTGCCTCAGTTGGCACAGCTCTGGAGGGTCTTACCAGCTCCGATGCCCCATCGGGTGTCCTCTTGGGCCTCCCTGTCCGCTCCCGCTTCCGTCACTCCCCACCCACAGGAGCTACTCCCTGGAGACGCCGCGATAACCCCGCTGTTCGAAGATCTCAGAGTCTCCCCCTCAGTCTACGGCAGCAAGGCACAATGAGACGTGTAGTTTATATAGTCCACCATGTTCATATTTATATAATAATTCACAATTCACCCTATATACGTAGGATAAACGCTGTGTAATTCATGCATTATGTGACATAATGGAATATAATGCCACATAGAATGGAATATAAAAATCTTTTTTGTGTAATATGTCACATGACGTTATATATTCCATGTTGTGTGTGTTGTGCGTGTATATATTTACCATTGGAAGGAAAATTTCGCTAAAAACTACCTTTAATATGTGCCGTGCAGTTTGATATTTCCTGTTGTATTGCATTTCATGAAGAAAAACTACAGCTGTATATAGATATGATCATATATACCTAATATGTATCCTAACCATATAAAATCTATTGTATTATATAACACAGAATAATATATATTATATATCACATATTACATATCTTGTTAGAACAAAAGTTTCGCTAAACAATAATCGCCCTTACCGTGTGCAACGCACTCTGTTACTTTCTATTCACTTTTATTCTCTTTCATAAAGAAAAGCATACACACATGTATGGATTATACAAACCTACGTAAAGCGGGCTGCCTTGGGCTACGGCGAAGACTTTGGCGTTTCCTGTGGGGTAAGCAGGAGCCACGGGAGGTGCTCTGAGCAGAAGAGGGATGTGAGCTGGCTTAGTTTTAACAGGATCCCCAGACGCACTATTGTGGGCAAAGGTGGAAGCCGCCAGCCCAGCGAAGAGGCAGCTGTGATTGTCCAGGCGGGAGGCGATGGTGGCTGGACCAGGCGGAGACAGTGGAGGTAGACAGAAGTGGGATTCTGGGCATATTAATACATCAGAGATGGAGCAGACAGGATTTACTGAGTGATGGGAGGTGGGGAGTCATTGATGGCTTCAAGGTTTTTGCTCTGTGTATGGACAAGGGACATACTGGTGCTGAGATGGTGAGGCTGCAGCAGAAGCAGTGTGAGGAGATATGGATAGCCTTGCCCTTCCCTTGCCCCTGGTCGCCTCAGATCTGGGAGCCCTCTGGCAGGCTTTGGTTATTTGTTCTGAATGGCAGCCGGCGGGGGCTGGAAAGACAGTCCTGGTCTCTCTCCTCGCGCTGTGAAACTGACATTCTTTATCTCACAGGCGCCTCCAGCAGGGCATGCTACTGGAGTCCATTTGGGACGTCCTGGAGGAAGGAGGCAACTGGAGGTGGTGGGCTGGGGCTTGGGACTCCGGTCTTAGGGCTCCCCTCACCCCTGGAATGGCAGCACCCAGACCAGGCTTCCCAGAGGCACCTCCACCAAGTAAGGGCTGATATGGACCTGGGGGCAGGGGTACCGCGGGGTCCGTCACGTCCAAGATGCCTGCCTCACTCGGAGGCCACATCCTTGTGCCTTGATATTTACTATATTTTGATAGTCTCTTCCTAGAGTTCAGCCATTCCAGGGAAACCAAAGTCCCCTCCCTGAAAGGAATCCTGTCTCTGGTTTGGGGGCAATGTTGGCAGAACCCTTTTGGGAGTGATCTGGCCATGCCACCTTTGTGGGCATGGACGCTGTCCCCCTCTTCCCTCTCGTGAGCGACCTGCACACACCTCTCTGGCCAGCATGAGCGTTTCCTCAGGGAGATGCCAAGTGCTAAAGAACTGCATAGGTTACAAACATTTATAGTTAATATAAAAACGCCCCCTAAAAGCTCTGCGAAGTGTCAGAGGAACTGTCAACACTTGCAGTTATCACACTTAAAAATTCTTCAACCCAAACAGTGCACAGTAGAATTTCATTATTCTTTTAATTTGTATTTTCTTGTTTTACCTGTAGGCTGAGCGTCTTTTCGGCCATTTATCGGATGTTTGTTCTGCTTTTGAAAAATGCCCGTTTTCATTGTCTGAAATTAATGTTCGTTTCTGGTGTGTTTTGTCCTACTGAAAGTTTTTTCATTGTTAAGTAACTGAATCTATGAGTCTTTTTTCTTTCAGGCACTTGTTTTTTCTGTCTTTATTTGAGAAGGGCTTCTCAACCCCAAGAATTTGTATCTCCCACTCTCCCTTCTTCTAATATTTGTATCGACGTTCTCTTTGTGCTTGTCATTCACTGAGCTTGTGTTGCATTGTGTTTTGGTTCCTAATGTGTACAACGTTGGGATCTGCGTTCTTCAGTTTCTAAATGTATGGCTGGCTGACATCTCGAAGTGCATGGAATGGCCCATCCTTTCCCTCCTCACCTGGGACTGGACAGCCGCGTTCGCTGTGTTCCCCGGTCACAAGTACCTTTTTCTCAATCCTGTTCTGTCAACCGTTTGTCCATCCTGCATCAACACCAGGTCTTTTGAATGCCAAGAGCTTGAAAATAGTTTTTGGTCTCTTCAAGGCAACCTGCCAGTCTCGTTCTTATTTTCAAACTTATCTGAGTTATTCCTGTGCCTTTGCTCCTTGATATGCATTTTTGAAGGTTAATGGACTTTACTTTTTGAGCAGTTTTAGGCTTAGAGAAAAATGGAGCAGAACGTACAGAGAATTCCCACATATCCCCTCCCCACAGAGGCACACGTAGTTGCCCCTATTACTAACATCTTGCGTTAGTGTGTACATTTGTTACAATTGAGAAGCAAATATATGTATATTTTTAACATCTTTATTGGGGTATAATTGCTTTACAATGGTGTGTTAGTGTCTGCTTTATAACAAAGTGAATCAGTTATACAGAGAAGCAAATATTGATATATTACTAAAGTCAGTAGTTTACATTAAGGTTCACTCTTGGTGTTGTATATTCCGTGGGTTTGGACAAATGTATACTGACGTGTATCCACCATTATAATGTCACACAGAATGGTTTTGCTGCCCTAAAAATCCACCTGTTCATTGCTCCCTCCCCGACCCTGAGTCCCTGGCAACACTGATCTCTTTACTCTCTCCATAGTTTGGCATGGTATGAACCCTCTGCACCTCTGTCTGTCACTTACTGACACTCCTGCATTTGCTGAGTCACTGAATCCATGAGTGTCAAAAGATACCTGGCCAAATCCCAGCCAGATAGCCTCCAGGCCCTCCCATCCTATAGTGTGAACTGAATGGTGGCCCCCTAAGGAGCCTAGGTCCCAATCCCTGGAACCTGTGAATGTGACCTTATCAGATAAAAATTTTTGCAGATGTGATTGAGTTAAAGATATTGAGGGGCTTCCCTGGTGGCGCAGTGGTGGAGAGTCCACCTGCCGATGCAGGGGACGGGGGTTCGTGCTCCGGTCCGGGAAGATCCCACATGCCGCGGAGCGGCTGCGCCCGTGAGCTATGGCCGCTGAGCCTGCGTGTCCGGAGCCTGTGCTCCGCAACGGGAGAGGCCACAACAGTGAGAGGCCCGCGTACCGCAAAAAAAAAAGAAAAGCAGATGGGCTCTGAATCTCTAGGGAGAAGATATTTAGGATTGCTGTCACTTTTTGGGGAACAGAAGATCCCCCCTGCAAAATATCCCTCTCAAGAAACTTTTGAAATATTTAGAAGCTTATTTTTACTTATTTTGAGGCATTGGCTAAAAGGCATTAAGTTACAACCCAATTTTCAGCCAGTAAATTAGTATCTGCGAATTAACCAACAAGCTTTGTGACTTAGTCTGTTTTCTTCACTGCTGTACTACTCAGATATTTTGGGCAGCCGAGTCTACAAGTCTGCTGAAAACTTACCCTCATCTAGCTGAGTATTCTCCTATACATGTCACAAAATATGTATTATATAAACCCTTTCTACTTAAATTCAGCATCTCTCTAATGTAGAATAAAAATTTGATTATAGGGAATTCCCTGGTGGCCCAGCGGTTAGGACTCCGCGCTTCCACTGCAGGGGGCACGGGTTCGATCCCTGGTCGGGCAACTAAGATCCTGCAAGCTGCGGGGCGTGGCCAATAAAAATAAATAAATAAAATTAAAAGGCTCTTACTGAACCAGTTAAAAAACTTAATTATCATAATTTTCATAAGGTCGACAATGCACCTGAAAAACCTTTTTGTATTTATCAAGTATCATACAGAAGAACGTTTTTGGTTTGATCTTCCGTGAACAGGTGTCGTGGTCTTTGAGCTGAAAATACATAAAGGCGATATATTCAACAAAGTTTTGAAAAACAGTCGGGGTTTTACTATTTATTAACACTGGGCTATTTTAATATTTATTTATTTGGCTGCGCCAAGTCTTAGTTGTGGCACGTGGGATCTTTAGGTTGCGGCATTCATGCGGGATCTAGTTCCCTGACCAGGGATCGAACCGGGGCACCCCGCATTGGGAGCGTGAAGTCTTAACCACTGGACCACCAGGGAAGTCTCAACACTGGGATGTTTTATAATTAACATCTGCAGGGCTGATCTCAAAGCATGGTGTGGGGGCTTCCCTGGTGGCGCAGTGGTTGAGAGTCCGCCTGCCGATGCAGGGGCACAGGTTCGTGCCCCGGTCCGGGAAGATCCCACATGCCTAGGAGCGGCTGGGCCCGTGAACCATGGCCGCTGAGCCTGCGCATCCGGAGCCTGTGCTCCGCAACGGGAGAGGCCACAACAGTGAGAGGCCCGTGAAACGCCCCCCCGAAAAAAAAAAAGCATAGTGTGGCAGTAGTAACATGAACATTGCTCTATAAGGCAAGAGAAAACAGTCCCGGCCCTTTTCCTGTGTGGCCCAGAGATAGTTATTCTCTGAACCCCAGTTTCCTCATTTACTTAAATAGAGATGCAAAGACTTGATGAACAGGTGATAGGTCACGAGGACGTTGAACAAGCATGACTCAGAGTATGATCAGAACAAACAAAAAAGGAAGAGATTCTCCCCTCAGGCTTTGGGAGGGAGCGCAGCCCGGCTGACACCTGATTTTGCCTCAGTGATGCTGATTTTGAACTTCTGTCCCTCGGAACTGTGAGAGAATAAATTTCTGTTGTTTTAAGCCGTCCAGTTCATAGTAATGTGTCATAGTAGCCACAGGAAACTAATCTGCTCCCACGATCTGATGGCTCATCCCGAGTAGCTCTGGCCTTTCAGTTAAAGAAAGGACAAGCCTAGGAGTTCCCTGGTGGTCTAGTGGTTAGGATCCGGCGCTTTCACTGCTGTGACCTGGGTTCAATCCCTGGTCAGGGAACTGGGGTCCTGCATACCGAGCGGTGTGGCCGAAAGAAAGAAAGAAAGAAGGAAAGAACAAGCCTACTCCACTTTGCTGGAGGTGTGGAGGACCTGGATTTTCCAGAGACTTCTCATGGCTTTCCCCTATGTTGCCTGGGAGAGAAAATTATTCCTCAACTCTGGACATGGGTATTTTGACAGCACGTTTAGTAGTCTATGTCAGAAGACTAGTCAGACCTTTATTTACTAGCTCACATTTTTTTTAATGTTTTTTATTCTTTCATATATATTTTTTTAATTTTTACTTCTGGCTGCATTGGGTCTTTGTTGCTGCACACAGGCTTTCTCTAGTTGCGGCGAGTGGGGGCTGCTCTTCGTTGCGGTGCGTGGGCTTCTCATTGCAGTGGCTTCTCTTGTTGCGGAGCACGGGCTCTAGGCGCACAGGCTTCAGTAGTTGTGGCACACGGGCTCAGTAGTTGTGGCTCGCAGACTCTAGAGCGCAGCCTCAGTAGTTGTGGCGCACGCACTTAGTTGCTCCGTGGCGTGTGGGATCTTCCCGGACCAGAGCTCGAACCCATGTCCCCTGCGTTGGCAGGCGGATTCTTAACCACTGCGCCACCAGGGAAGTCCCAACTAGCCCACACTTTATTGAGCAGTTTATTTTTTCCAGGTTGTAGAAGCTCTGTTTCTATCCTTGGGTCAATTTTCTCATTGCATGTTTCCCTTTTCGTCTGATTTTTTTTTTTTAGTTGGAATAAAACAAACACACAGTAACGTGTGCACTGGTATAGGGAGGGCTCAATGAATGCTTATAAATGGGGATCCATTGGGAACCAGCACCCAGATGGAGACAGAGGACATTCCAGGACCCCAGAAGGCCCCCTCCTGCTACTTCCCAGGCAGCACCCCCTCCCCCTCCCAGCTGTAACCACTGTGCTGAAATCTGTCACTGTAGATTAGATTTGCCTGTTCCTGAACTTCATATCCATGGACTCATAGGGAATGTTCTTCTCTGGATCTGGCTTCTTCAACATAGTATCTGGGAGATGCATCTGTGTTGTTCTGTGTAGCAATCGTTTGTCCTTTTTTGGTGCTGTGTAGTATTCCACTGTCAACTAGAACACACTTCGTTTACCAGCCAACTGACTGACGAGCACGCAAATTGTCTCCAGGCTCCTGCTTGTTCTGAGTGAGGCCGCTAGGGCCACTTTGACACCAGGCTTTGGTGGGCATCACGCTCGTTTCCCTAGGGAATATCTAGGAGGGGGATCGCTGGGTCATAGGGCGAGCCTATGTTTACCCTTAGGAGAAAATGCCAATTAAAAAAAAAAAAAGTGGGACTTCCCTGGTGGCGCAGTGGTTAAGACTCTGTGCTCCCAATGCAGGGGGGGCCCAGATTCAATCCCTGGTCAGGGAACTAGATCCCACACACATGACGCAACTAAGAGTTCACATGCCACAACTAAGGAGCCCACGTGCCACAACTAAGACCCGGCACAAACAGATAAATAAAATAAAATAAAATATTTAAATAAGTGACTGTAGGGGAGTTCCCTGGTGGTCCAGTCGTTAAGACTCGGTGCTTTCACTGCTGTGGCACTGGGCTCCATCCCTGGTTGGGGAACTAAGATTCCCACAACCCATGCAGTGCAGCCAAAAAAAAAGAGTGACTTTACCATAATAAATTCTCCTGCTCTTCACAATGTTCCATATCGACAGTCTTTGTTTTCTCTCTCTTTTTAATTTTAACCATCCTGTTAAGTATGTAGTGGTATCTGATTGTGGTTTTAATTTGTCTTTCTCTGATGAGTAATGATGTTGAGCATCTTTATCTGCTCTTATTGGCCATTCTCATCATCTTCTTTGGAGAAGATAATAATTGCATCTGTTAATACAATTATTCGATAATAATTAGATCTGTTCAAGTCTTTTGTCCATCGTATTAGCTTCCTGTGACTGCTGTAACAAATTACCCCAAACCTGGTGGCTTAAAACGATACACATTTATTCTCTTACAGTTCCTGAGGCCAGAAAACTGAAATCAGTATCCCTGGGCTGAAATCAAGATGTTGGCAGGGCTGTGCTGCCTCCAAAGGTTTGAGGGGAGAATCTGTTCCCTGCCTCTTCCAGCTCCTGGTGGCTCCAGGCTTTCCTTGGCTTGTGGCTGCATCAATCCAGTCTCTCCCTCCATCTTCCCGTGGCCTTCTCCTCTATATGCCTGTATCTTTTCCTCTTCTCTCTCATATAAGGACACTTGTCACTGGATTTAGGGCCCAGCGGGGTAATCCAGGATGATCTCATCTCACTATCCTTAACATTAATCACATCTGCAAAGACCCTTTTGCCAAATAAGGCAACATTCACCTGTTTTAGAGATTTGGGTGTGTTCATCCCTTCAACCTGTTACAGTGAGCAGATCTCCCCCTGCCGCCCTTTCATCAGGACACTTTGGGTTGCATTTAGGGCCCACCTAGATACTCCAGGAACATTCCGCATCTCAAGGTCCTTAACTCCATCACATCTGTAAAGTCCTTTTTGCCACATAAAGTAAGATTCACGAGATCCGGGGATTGGGAACCACCATTTAATATACCGCATCCACTTTTTCTAGGCTATTCCGTCGTCCTTCTCTAGTGATTTGTTGGTGCACTTCACAGAATTTGCATACTACCCCTTCTGTTGAGATGGGGATACTCTTGGTAAACCTCTCGTTAGAGCCTTGGGGTGAGAAGGCTGGCATGGAGGGTGTGGTCTGTGCTTCCCAGATGATCCCTAGTGGGCTCAGCACATTTTCAGCTGTTTATTGGACCTTTGAATTCTGTGAGAGATGCCTGCTTTGGGGAATTCCCTCGTGGTCCAGTGCTTAGGACTCCGTGCTCTCACTGCTGAGGGACTGGGTTCGATCCCTGGTCAGGGAACTAAAATCCCATAAACCGGGTTTCCCTGGTGGTGCAGTGGTTAAGAATCCACCTGTCAATGCAGGGGACACGGGTTCGAGCCCTGGTCCAGGAAGATCCCACATGCCGCGGAGCAACTAAGCCTGTGCGCCACAACTACTGAGTCTTCACTCTAGAGCCCGCGAGCCACAACTACTGAGCCCACGTGCCACAACTACTGAAACCTGCACGCCTAGAGCCTGTGCTCTGCAACAAGAGAAGCCACCGCAATGAGAAGCCTGTGCGCCACAACAAAGAGCAGCCCCCGCTCGCCACAACTAGAGAAAGCCTGCGTGCAGCAATGAAGACCAAATGCAGCTAAAAATAAATTTAAAAAAAATCCCATAAGCCACGTGGCATGGCCAAAAAAAAAAAAAAGAAATGCCTACTTTGCTTATCCTTAATGCTTTTTTGTGAGGTCTTCTGTACTTTTACAAAAGTTTTTCAATTTTTAAAATTTATTTTATTTATTCTTTTATTTTTGGCTGCGTCGGGTCTTAGTTGTGGCATGTGGGATCTTTAGTGGCAATGCACGGGCTTCTCTCTACTTGCGGTGTGTGGGTTCTATAGTTTGCGGCACTCAGCCTCTCTAGTTGAGGTGCGCAGGCCCAGTAGTTGGGGCGCGCGGGTTTAGTTGCCCCGCGGCGTGTGGGACCTTAGTTCCCCGACCAAGGATCAAACCCGCATCCCCAACATTGGAAGGTGGACTCCCAACCACTGGACCACCAGGGAAAGTCCCCAAGTTTTTCAATTTAATAAGCCAGATTTCCATCTTTTACTTTATGGCTTTTACTTTTCCTCCCTTGTCTGGGAAGACCTTCTTTGCCTCAAGTTATAAGCATCCCCACCCTAAGAGTGCAGGATGATGATAACCGTCATTTTACAGAGGAGGAAACTGAGGCCCAGAGGAAACTAATCTCTTTTAGTTCACATTTCTTAGGCTCCAGGCACTGTGAGAAGGATTTTACGAGAGTCATATCTTTGAATCCTTGAATCTCCTTGTGCTGGGGTTCCTCCAAACCACCCTCAGACCCGATGATTTGCTAAGTAGGACTCAGAAAAGCTGATATATAATTTATTGCAGTGGAAGGATACAGATTACATTCAACAAAGGAAAGGATACATGGGGTGAAGTCCAGGTGCAGAGGGGACAGCTTGTGCAAAGGCCCAGAGATGTGAGTGAGGAGGGATGTGCAAAAAAAAAAAAAAAGATTTCATGGCTTAGTCCTACAGCTAGTGGGCAGGACGAGGGGCTGGTGACCAGATCATACAGGGCCTGGGGCCATGGAAAGGAAGGTATGGCTCCAGGCCTTTCTTGACTTGGGAGCTGAGGGCACTGGATGGCCTGGAGTTCAAGGAGTCAGTGTCAAAAGGAATCCCATTCCGATCACTTCGTTTCCCAATCATATTTTCTACAGAGTTCAAGAGACAGCAGGCTCACTATAGAAACCGCAGCAAACACTGAGAAACAAAAACACTGAGAAATGAAAAAAATCATCTGTAATTCCACTACCCAGAGATGATCGTTGTTAACTTTTAGCTCTGTTTCATGATCCTAATGGCACACGCGTGTGTATAGAGAAAAAAGTGAGGCATCGTATATATATTGGTAGATACACACATACGTACAAAGTGGGCATCATTCTATAAAATGCTCTAGATCTGTATTTCAAGTGACCGATAAGGAGTCTTGGAGGAGAAGGTGTCAGACCCCCTTGGCCAGGTGAGGGTGGATTTAGGAGCCCTTCTCATTTATGAGCAGCAGTTTCCGAGGGAAGGGTGTTCTCGTAAAGGGCACGGCATGTGCAAAGACCCGGTGGCCACAGGGAACGGTCGGAATGGCTGGAGCAGGGCAGGGGTGGG